TTGGTGTGATTAGATGTACATCTACAGTTAATCAGCTAACACAACATTTGCACATTTAAACAAAAATATTTTACATCTCTTTCTTGGTTGCACAAGCTGACTGATAGACATTAAAGGCTGAGGAAATCAAGCATATCTGGACCTTTGCAGGACAAAGATTGGTATCAGAGAACCTAGCAACTTGATTATCAGTTACCAACGTGGCAACCCAGTACTCAACCAGGAAGAGAAGAGTTTCATGATCTGTGATTCGGTCAAAGGAGACAGGAGCTGTTTTTGGGTCTTGCAAATAAAAGTGCATATACAGGAATCAAAAACAAGACTAAAGAGAAGAACGGGTTCATTACTCGTCTTTTGATGGTGTAGCCCTGTCTAATGAATAAAACGTACCTAGGATCCAAAACAGATAGCATTTAGTCTTTTCAGATGGTTCTTGCTTAGTGTAACCAGAAAATAAAATTGTATCCATTACCTCTTCCCTCCTTGCTTATCTGATTCGTGAACAAAACGCCATTTTCTCATTCCAGGTTCTTCGATTTTGTGCAAATGGATTAATGGCAATATGGAAAAGCAGCAGTATAGGATAGAAAACTTGCTGTATTATTTGCCTTTCATGTTTACACATGGCATTCTAAACCAGAAGAAACCTTTCATTCGCGTGCGCCAAGTTCCCAGGTACAAACCACAGACAGAACGGAGGCAACAAGCTCCCGCACGCAGTATAACCCAGCCACACGTGCSGGCTAGCAAGGTACCAATGGACTGAATTTGCTCCAGGCATTCTGATACTCTAAAACACRGCACCAATAAGGCAGATATTCTTCAACGGTTTTATTTCTTTTGGCAAATGACAGTGATTCTCAGTCGCACAGTGTTCTTGAAAGAAAATAAATGATATCCGAAGCATCCTGCTGATTCCGTGCTGCTCAAGTGCCAACACTTACACTCCATCAGAGCACAGCAGGCTCCCTGGCAGAGCTGCACGCTAGCAGAACAGCAGCAATCCCATTTAACTTTGGACACGGGTCCTCATCACTCACAGCATAACCCAGCTACTTCAAATGCCCCTTCACTTTAACACAAGAGGTAAAATAACCAGCCTTAGAAAAAAAAATGAGCAAGTAGCCAAGAAGACAGGGCAAGATTTAAGTTACTGCTCAGTAAATGTGTGAATTCTGTATATAAATTGCACTGATAACACTTGTGACCCTTTTCTTTGGCATAAGCAACTACAGTAGTTACCACTGACTAGCTAGAATCTCTAAATCCAGCTTTCCATGCATGGAAGGACATGACAACAGTCGCATGGCACACATTTATCACRTTTTTTTGCACTTCTGGAAACTGTTCAGAGCCGTAAGTACAATGTAAGAATTCAGAGAGAACAAAAAAGAAGCCCAATTCTTCACAACTGTTGGCAAGAGGCTGCTCACACATGGGCAAGGGCTGCACTCCTCAGCAGTTTTTCAGACACAGCRCACATTGAAATCTTCTACTTTGTGGAATTTCTCCTGTCTTTCCTAGTTCATGGGAAATTCCACCTCTGCCAGACAATTCAAGGGAAACTGAACAGCAAATTCCACGAACGCGAACTCTGAGACAGCAGCTCGGCTACTGTGAGTCACTGACAGCTGGGAACAATCCTACCAGCTCTGGAGAGGCACCAGATCCAATGCGGCATCCACCCCCTCTCTACTCCATTCCACAAAAGCCAGCAAATCTGAAAGGAATCACAAGGATGCTGCTGCTTACGGGAGAGGGAGATGCGAGTCTTCCTGAAAACAYCCCTGCACAGGAAAAGCTTGCTTTGGGAAGCTGCTGCTTCTTCAAACCCGTGTCCCCAAAGCTCCCCTGCAGAAAGGCACCTCATCTGCAAACCYATCCTTTCTGAGAGAGAGGCCTGAACCTTTGCACTGCACCTGAGTTTCTGGTTTCACTAAGAATCTGCTAAGAGAGAGCGAAGCCTTTCCTGCAGTGAACCCTTCACTATGCAYGTAGGGCCACCTCCACGGCAATATCTGAGGTGGTTTGGGAAACGAGGAGCTGCAAGCACTCTGCAGATTGCACGTACATCAAGAACGTGACCTGGCCCTGCTCCAGGGGAGCAGGAGCACAGAGACACAGGCAGCACACAGCATCAGGCMGAAGCATCAACTCCCTTCCATTCCCAAACTTACAATGCTGAATCCARTGTTATTCCAAAGGAAGAATCGTTGTAAATCTCTGGTCTCATCAGGCTGAAGGAGAGCTGCCTGCAGCTGGTTCCTGAAAGACCCTCAGACTCCTCAGTCATTCCTCCTAAGCCTTCCGTAGGTCAAGTACCACTAGTTCTAATTTCTCATTTTATTTCTGTCTACCATCATATTCCCATGCTGGTTTTTGCTGCCCTGTAACTCCTTGGTCRCAGATTTGAATTGTGTATGTTTACTTATGCCTCATCTAGTCATACTCTCATATATACACACACAATTATGCATCTACAAACATATAAAAATACATATAAAACAAATACCCTGCTGTACTGTTGAGTCTCCCATGATTTTAACTGCTCCAGGTAAAAAGACCAAAGATGCTCGGMCTCCAGCGAACCATGGGAATAGCTCAAGCAGACTTTATTGGAAATTATTCTTCTCTACAATCCCCCTGGCACAGAGAATTATTCTTCATGCTTATTTAATCAAATTAAAGCCTCAGAACTGTGACTTCTTCCCAGCCATATCCTCACACCTACCTGCCATCTCTGGCTATTAAGCTAACTTCTTGCTTGCTTGCAAATCCTTCTGTACATTACATTCCTCATGATTGCTCCTTGCACTTCCTTTGGCAGGGAAAACATGCCAAGCACAACCAGAAACTAATTCAATTTATAGTGCCATGACAAGCATCAGTCAAGAACACAGTTCTGACACACACAACTAGCTTAGGAATTGCATCCACATCCAGTATACTACTTATTTTAGTGTTCTTACATCTTCCTAGTCAGGAAGGCTTCTTTTTGGTAGAAGTTGTAGAGCAAAAGCAGCACAAAAAGATCTTGCTCTGCCAGGCATAGCTATCTATGCAGAGACACAGTAAGGGAATCTTTTTATACCTCGTGCATGAATCTTTCTATATCTTGTGCTTGCTTTGAATGATTGCAAAAAGGCTACCATAAAGTTTGTAAGCTACCTCTGAAATAACAACAGTTTAAAAAAATGTAACACTGTTTACACTAAATTCTGAGAGGTACGCCTAGAAACTCAAGAAGAAGGTTGGGATCCAATACCTGCACATTAATAGGGACTTTTGACATCAATTCACAAAGATTCTGAGACAGGATGAAGAGGCTCCAAATCAGATCACGAGCAGAGAGTATGGTGAAAGCATTTTGATTTTAAAAAGTGGATTCAAAACCAAAAAACACCAGAAAAAAAATCAATGCAAACAGCAGTAAGAATCTGTAATTACAGAAAGAGTGCTCTTGTGACCTCTTTAATAAATACCCATAACTCCCCAAGAAGTGTTTCACAGCTGCTTACAAGTCAATATTTCAACTGTTATTTTAGATAATTTAAAAACATAGTAAATATATTATAGAAAAATCACAGTTCTCTGAAACAGTACAGTTAGGTGGTATTTCTATTAAAWTCCTTACTGCAGGAAAAAATAAGCCGACAGTAACAGTAGCTGATACGATTTAAATCCAAATCTTTCAACATGTTGAGGGACTAGAAGTACATGTTTCATTAAGTGGCAGCAGGAGTCCAGCTTTCTAACAGAATATTCAATATTTGCTTCTAATCTGGATGATTTAAAGATATTTTTCCAAATAAAGTCAAGATATTTATATTTTAAACACTTTATTGTGTATAAAGAAGCCTACTGGACTACTAATTGGGATTTTCTAGTACATTTTAACCTGTGACTCTCTACAGTTCCTAAAATATCAATCTAATGACTCTAATGCAGTATTTTTATAGGCACAGGTAGAAACCCTGAGYATTTTTAAATACAGGACATGTATAAAGCAAATGCAAAAGACCAACATACCCAGAACATCTGAGGACATAAAGATTTTACAGATGCTCCTAACAAAGCTGATGCTTGCCATCCCCATTTGTGATACTTAACGCAGTCATATGAAACATAAAGCAATAACAACTTTATGGTATCACATATTTACTTTCATCTGCCCTTCCCTAGGGTACCGGGTACTCCCTTCAACACAGTCGTGTTGGCATGCAGACAAAACACAAACCCTATTTCACAACCATAAAGGACTGATGTCTTTAAATGTTCTTTTCTGTGCTGAGGCTCTGTTGTTTCAAACCACTCCAAGCAAATCAGAAACACTTGCAGGTGATGTCCCCCAACACAGAGGCACCTTGGCCTGGCACGCAGGGCTCCCAGAGCCAAGGAAAAGCTTCTCCAAACTCCTGCTTAAGCATCAGCATCACCTTCATGCAGCACGGYTATGGGGTTAAATTTACCCCTCTGTTCCCAATCTCATAGTCAGCCTTAGCCATTTGACAATGGCTTTTCTTTCAGCTAGTGCCCAGGTACCTCTGCTACTTTCAGAAGACACCTGATGTGTTACACATCTGATTTTATAAAGAAATCCCCACAGTGATGTTGGAAATGTGCAGCCAARCAGGCCTCTCAGCCTGCCCTCCCTTGGTGGTCCCTGGGTAAATACCRTAGCTTTATTACTGTTTGTTTTCCAGGTCTCCAAGATTTCCGTTGCTCTAAATTCAGAGCCCTACTCCTGTGCTCAAGGGGTGAAACCCACTTAACCTTTGGGGTGCCCTGGCCGCGGTGCTGCGGAGCGCGGTGCCGCCTGCACTAAGCCAGAACCTGAGCTGTGCTTTGATGCCGACTCTCACAATTTTATGAGCTGATAAATTACAATCTCCCCATTTCAAACCTGGATATAGTTTGCTGTGACAGGTATGGCAAGTCTAAATTTATCAGGCCCTGGGAATGTAAATCTACATCAAAGGGGATGGAAGTTAAGCACTTACCTTTTCGGCAGCACCTTTGTTCGGCAGCCAAGACGCAGAGCGAAGCCAACAGAGTCTGGCCCACAGTCACTCCCTGCAGCTGRAGGAGGAGGGGAAAAAGAATAAAATGGGTCCGGATTAGAAAGACAGGAAAAAAAAAGATCAAAGGGGACTTTATTTCATGTGAGTATGGAGATCATTGCACCCAGATTGAGCACACAAGCACTTTTATTCTAAACACAAACTATTCAACAAGATAGCGCGCACACTACCGTSCCTTGCTAAGAGTCCAGCTACTGACATTTTGAAGAGCCTCAGGCAGAAGCTTAAACCCTTGTACAGCTTACATATAGAGAACACACATARAAATGCTAGGTATGATCAGAAACCAGTTTGTTCTCTGAGCAGTGTGAAAGCGAGGTCCGGCAACGGAGCTGGACGCGTTCYGGACCAAGGGGCTCCCTGCCTGCCCCGGGTGGGATTTGCTCCTGCCCTTGACATGTGTTTGCACCGTAGCAGCCCCATCTAACATCAGCCCGGTGGCGCCCATGCCAGCCTCTGCCAAAGCCCAAGCACAAATRAAACAGCTGCCACAGGAGCCTCTGGCATCAGCCCCGCTCCTGGATTTGCCGCTACGCCTTCCGGATGGTACAGAGACACGCTCCCGAAAGCCACCCCACAGCCTCTCCTCCCCTTGCACCTATTTACACCATTTAATTTCATGCTCCTCTTTTAAACACATCTTCTAAAGAGCCTAGGATTAGCATCTAAACACCCTCCCTTTCCTCTCTGCTACCTAACTGGACTTAACCATCCTGACCAGTTTGCAACAAGGCAGGTTCACAGCRGCAGGAAGCACAAGGGAGGCAACATTAAAGAGTGAGGAGAGGCTGTCCCAGGCGCATGCCCCTCCAAGCCCTGCCGGCTGCCATCGCATCTCCAGCTGGGCCTGGAGGTGCCGTGCAGCCAAGGCAGCCCCAGCAGAGGTTGCCGGAGCCCTCCGGCCTGCGCTCACTCCTCATCCTTCCCCCGGCTCTCCAGGTGGTCACATCTGTCTGTAAACAAGATGTCTGGGCCTGCACGCTTGGCAAGCTGACTCTCTCAGTTGTTTAGAAGGAACTTCTCCATCATGTGGATAGCCCAAAGTCATATTAATTTGTTTCTTGCTGCCATGATGCATCTGCAAACTTATTAATCTGCTGCACAGACACCCCCAAGGCTCCTTGTCAGTCCTAGTGCTCTTGCATCTTGGCCTGATACACACACGAACTCCATGACAGCCTCTCTTCCAGCTGTGCCAGTCTGCATCCTCTCCACGGCCTCCTTGCAAAGCAGGAGCACCCAATTCTGACACTCTGTTTCCAGGATCTCTAGATCCCTTGGGTTGCTGTGCCCTCTTCATCTGCATTTCACTCACCACCAACATTCAGCATCTCTTACTTGTTTTTGGTTTAATTCAGTTCAAAGACGCACACTTAAAATGGTGCCACATACAATTTTATGCAGGAACAAAAGAAAAGTGGGAATGCATGAGAATTTATGCCACTGAAAAATAACCTGTGGGTACTGGCTTTGCATTTGCAAGCACCATCTCAACATAGGAAAGTAAACCTGAATTCCTGTGAACTGGAAAGGCTGCAACCCCCCCAAGTCTTCTCAGGAGCAGAAGGAAGGGGAATCATTTTGAGCACGTGCACAGTGAAGATTTCCGCATAGCTAAGGGGACAAGATGCATTGAACACAAGGTAGATCTGCTAAAGAGCCGAATTCCTTCAAGGATTAAAAATAACCACGGGCTAAAGGAATACAAGAACACATTGTTTATTCGAACTTTGCCAAAAGATTTGGTGAAGCTCTTCACAAAAGGCTGCTCAAGTCACTGGGAAGGACAAAGTTCTGTCACAAGCMGGAAAGCAGCAAAAAGAAACAAAGCGGGAATCCCTGAGCGGTTCTGAGCGTGGAAGAAGAGTATTTGCGGCGCTCTCAAAGATTAGCATCTATTTTCTTTCAGGCTGTTATTAAATATTTGCAAGAGAAAGTAATCTATGAAAAAAAAGTCAACTACATACAACTTTAAGTGAGGCCGATTAAGTATATAGGAGATGGTGGATTACTCTAAGAAACTGTAACCGAGACAGCCCTCGGACAGATTGGGGCCAGAGCAACAAAGAAAATGACAAGGAAACAAGAAACAGAAAAGGGTCTTTAATTGGGAGCTACTCATTCCCTGCAGCAACTCTGTAAGGATATATGTCGTGTGTCAGTGCCACTGGATTAGTAGTATTAAACAGTGATTAAAAAGTCAGTAAGACAGTTAGGACAAAATAAGACTGACATTACATACATTACCATTATACTTTCACCCGGAATGTCTTTCTGTCRACCTTGACTGAAGCAACATAGAGCAGGAGGAAAAATGCTCAAGGAAATGCGATGGAAATGATCAGGGCAAAGCACATGCACAAATGTGAAGAGAAGCTCCACAAAGCAAACTCTGTAGCCTTGCAAACACGGAGCACAGGCTTGCAAGGCACTTTCTTCAGATAGCATCAGTGACACCTAAGGCATTCCTGGCATGCTTGCCTGTTATCTTTGCTAAAATCTTCCATGACAGAGCTTCCATCAGCTCCCACGGCAATCCGGCTACCACCTAACTACTCCTGCTGCTCAAAAGTTTTCCCTAATGCCATTTCTGCATTACTTTAATCTTTTAAAATTAAAAATTACTTCAAGCCCTTTACTTTTAGCCTTATCTCGTATTAACGTGGAGGGCTGATTATTCTTTTTCTCTTTACAGCACACTAAATATATAAATATCCTTACACATACTTATATACACTGGTTTATGTACAGGTGCTCCCGAATGGCCTGGCCTCTGCTCCCTTCCCTTGCAAGCTGGTATCCCTCCCCTTTTCTGGCTGCCAGGCTCTGCCCTCAGGGCTCCAGCTGACAACATCCCGGCAGGAAGGAGTTAAGGAGAGTTAAGGAGTTCCCTGCGGACATCAGGACATCAAGGCCTGGGATGCTGCACAGGAATTGCCAGCGTTGGGGACTCACCTACCACTCACAATCCACTGCGAGCCCTGCTGCTTGCTGAAGCAAGTCTCCTGCTTCAAGCACCTGACTTTTAATTTCTGTTTTATATGGAGTAGAAGAAACAAGGGAGAAAAGCAATGCAATATTGTGAAATTCAAGCATGCAATTTATGAAATCCATTATCAGAGCAATGTTTTAGTAAGAGCTAGTATATATATATATATAAAATATATATATAAAAAATAGAAGTCATCTTTAGTTACTACAAACACAAGGGAAATTGGCATTTATCCTTCAAAAAGCTGAAAATACTCTTTTCTGATCTCACTGCTTCCACTGCATTCAATAGGATGTGTGGGCTCTCTTAACTGCTTTTGAAACTGTCACTCATAATTACATAATTGTCCATTGCGGAGATTTTTATCACTTCCTCCAAAACAGGTGGTCATCAGGTACTACTGAAACAGAACATCAGTGATACAAGCATCACTCCTGGGTCTGGACGTGGTGTTTTTATCTCCCCCCCTTTTTTTATGGCTCAAAAATAAACCAAAAAAAAAAAAAGATGATTGGCTTTTATAATATTAAGAAATAGCACAAGAAAGAAAAAAATGGAGAAATGACAGAAGATTTTTTCCTCATATATTTTAATACATCTACCTATGAGTTCTGAAAGCTATTCAGTAGTATTTATTCCAAGACCCCCAAATCCCACCTTCAGCTGGAACAAAAAGCCATGTTTGTGCCCCAAGGACTGAGGCAGCATCACAGCATTTTTGTTTCAACTATACTCTGCTTGCTGTTAACGTTCCAGCACKCACCAAAACACTCCAGTCGCGATTAGGACTGCCAGATATTATGTATCTAACACATACAGAAATCATGATTCTGTGTACAGATGTATTTGTGAGCTTGTGCATACCTAATAGAAGATAGTCCATACGCCACCTACTTTTCCACAGAGAAAGAGAGCAGACAGCTATTAGGAGGCATACCCAGTCCTCAAAAACAGAGCTGAGGCATCAAGGAAAAGAAATCGCCAAAGGACACAGGAAGAGCAGAGCAAGGGAGCTAATGTGGATCCTCCAGCCACAGCAAATAAGCAGCAGGCCGCCCTCCTGCTCGTCCTTCCCATGGCCACCAGCACGGATGCCCCTTGCGCCAGCAAAGGGACCCGCTGGCACCGCAGTGCCACATTCAGGAATCCTCTMTACTGCCTTCCTTCACACCTAAGGCTGCACACGGACACAGCTTCAGCAGGCCACTTATTTCACACCTGGAGTGAGCCAAGAACATGGTCCCTGGGGTCCAACAACTAGTAGTTGGCTGTTATGACAGCTAGAAAATTACTTGAGATATTGCACCCTTAAAAAAGAAAAGTGTCAATGAATACTACAATACTACTAGAACAGATAATTAATAATAATACTCACACCTTGAGTTCAAGTGCAGCACTTCTATGTGTCAACAAAGCGTAAAAAAGAGAGGATTAACTGAATAAACAGCATCAAACCAGCACAGACACTTGCTTCTTGAATAAAGCATCAAAAGTGAGCATATATTTCATGAAGAAAATCAGAAACAGCATAGGAAATGATGGGAAAGAGAAGAAGCGAACCTGAAACTAGGTTAGAAAACGACATCCCTCCAGGGGCCAAACAAGTCCATTATAAGACACGGGTGGGATGTTAAAAAGCAGGATGTTGAGATGTTGAGCCCTGCTTTGTGCCACACTACGTGTTAAGTGTGGAGAGCCACGGAGCGCAGGGAAAGCGGAGCCGACCGCACGCTGCAAGGAGGTGCAAGACAGCAAAGTATTTGATCAGAGACACACACACGGCAACGTATTAGGGAAGGTTTCAGAGGACGGGAGAACTGCTATGGATTCATTTCAAAGGAGAGGGAAGGCTCCGTAGAGACGAAAGTGTCGGAAAAGAGCATGAACATTACACTGACACAGCTTAGTAAAAAGCCTAATACAGGATTACAGTAAAATCCAATCTGCGACAAGCAAATAAAGGAGCAAAGTACCCGTGTGTAYGGAGGCAAAAGGCGTGGGTATAC